GCCTTCGGCTCAGGTCATGATCCTGGAGTCCCGGGATCGAGTCCCGCATCGGGCTCCCTGCTGAGCGGGGAGTCTGCTTCTCCCTCTGACCCTCTTCCCTCTCGTGCTCTCTCTCTCTCATTCTCTCTCTCTCAAATAAATAAATAAAATCTTAAAAAAAAAAGTTGCAAGAGGGAAATTTCTTGAAGCAAACACCTACAACCTTGAAAAATCCCTCCATTCGTCCTTCCGTTCTTTTCTGACCCCTCGCCTGTTTCCCTCCTTCCTCTGTCAAACTCACAGAATGTGGGATCCACTCTTGGTCTAGTCTCCTGAGGTCACTGTGGCCCTCAGGAGTTGGGCTTCCTTCCTCATTGCCCTGCCGAATCTTTTTTTTTTTTTTTTAAGATTTTTTATTTATTTATTTGAGAGAAAGAATGAGAGAGAGAGCACATGAGAGGGGGGAGGGTCAGAGGGAGAAGCAGACTCCCCGCTGAGCAGGGAGCCCGATGCGGGACTCGATCCCGGGACTCCAGGATCATGACCTGAGCCAAAGGCAGTCGCCCAACCAACTGAGCCACCCAGGCGCCCTGCCCTGCTGAATCTTCTCCAATTTTGTTTTATCTGTCCTCATTTTCCTTGCCCTTTCACTTGCCTCTGGCACTGCTGACCTGTTCCTTCCCTCCATAAAATGTCTCATTTGGTGTCTGATATTCCAGAATCCTGGCACTTGCAACACTGACCACTCAGTGCTAGAGACTGCCAGTTATCTCCCAGTATCCATCCTCCTCTTCTTTGTCACAGAATCTCCCAATTTCACTTGAGTACATGGATGCCCAAAATAAAGTTTTCACTTTCAAGCCTCCCTTGAGGCTGAGGAAGAGCAGGTCCATATGATAGAAGCAAAAGTGGTGTGCACAGCTGCTGGAAAGCACCCTTAAAGAAAGTGAATTCTCCAGTCTTTTTTCTCCTTCTTGGATGTTGGAATGGGGAGGTGATAGCTGGGTTGGAATGGAGAGGTGATAGCTGGAGAGGTGAGAGCAGCCATGGGTTATGATGTAACCCTTCCTGATACTATAGAGCCCTGGTGTAACTTCTTTTTTAAAGTCACTGTTATTTTGAGTTTTCTGTTACTTGTAGCTAGTCCTGGTTCTCTCTAATGCATTTCTTCCCTACTACTGCATACTCTTCGTCACTTCAGCTAAACTGTATGCTCTTTGGGAATATAGGTTCTGATAAAAATACTTAATGACTGACCTAGATTTCAATGGACTTATTATTACATAATTCTGGATGGTTCACTCTTTTTAATACGAGTTGGGGGTGGAACAAAATAGGAGATGAAGGCTCTCAATAAAAGAGGTCAAAGTAGAAGATGATTTGGATGTTCTCAGAGTCAGTTTTCTCCCTCTTTTTAGTTTTTTTTTAAAGATTTTTATTTATTTATTTGAGAGAGAGAATGAGAGAGAGAGAGAGTACATAAGAGGGGAGAGCGGGAGAGGGAGAAGCGGACTCCCCACTGAGCAGGGAGCCCAATGCGGAACTCGATCCCGGGACTCCAGGATCATGATCTGAGCTGAAGGCAGTTGCTTAACCAACTGAGCCACTCAGGCGCCCATCCCTCTTTTTAGTTGTAATGCTAAAAATTAATTCAGACAATGGGGAAAAGATTTAAGAAAACAGATAATATTCAGGTACATAAAATAATGTCTATTAGGCTGTGTTACCAAATAGAGATTTAAAAAAAAAAATCTTGAATGAATGGATAAGATTTCTAACTACTTTATCAATCATATGGGTGTAACTTTTTCTCCAGTCCTCTGATTTCTGTGAGGGAAGCTTCTCTCTAAACACACTCCTGGCCTCCTGGCCTTTCTTAACTTTACTCATTCTCCAGGAGATGGAGGGCTTATCTGACTGATAAAATTTGGAAGTGTGACTGAGGCTGTCTGGGTCAGCAATTCTCTTCTCCCCTCAGGGGCAAGTTTATCCAAGGAACACATACTGCACTCAGCCAATGAAGATGGGCAGGCAGGTAGACCATGTATTCCCCATTCATTTTCATTCGACTTCCTGGTAAAGCTTTTGCTTACAATGATCTTAAATGAACTTCAGCTTAAGTTTCTATCCCAACCACTATTAATGCTGAAGTGGTGAAACTTACCAGAGAAGTTCTGTGTCTTTGTCAGTTTTCAGGTACAGGAATAACACATTTTTTAACAGCAACAATAGTAAACCCTTATGTTTCACTTATCCATATGCCAGGAATTAAGTTCTCTCTAATGTCTAAATTATATCTCAGCAGCGAAGCAGCAACAGTTCTCTGGTGACCTGACCCTCCCTCCACTTTCAGCCTTTACACAAGATAGTAACTGGGGCTTGAAGGTTATACACCCACAAGGTATTGAGGCATTTGTACTGCCTATGAAACTCTACTGTGTAAGAGACATTATAATACACTCAAAGCATTCCTGTAAGCAAACTAGATGTTTATATATCCCAAGAGGTAGGTTTGCTTGTACTTGCTCTTTAAATTATAAAAAGTATTCTATTCTAATTGGGGAATAGAAGGTCTGGGAAGGAATACATAAACATTCCTAAAGATCCACTTTGTTCATGTCACTAAACCAAGTACTTTATATATTCTAATTCATTTAAACTGTCTGTAGTAAATGAGAAGCTGTTAATTGGTAAATTTAAAAATTAATTGCCAAGGTCACTCAGTAAGTAGAAGTTCCATCATTTGAACACAGACCCAGCTCCAAATCCCACACACATATCCCTATATTACACAGCCTCAAAGGACTCAACCCAACCCCTCTGCCAAAGTTCCAGATCTTTTTTTTTTTTTTTTTTTTACCTTCAGTGGTCTTCGGAACTGCCTTGCTGTCTCTGGTAGGTTGCAAAAATATTTTGTAGGCCTTCCTATCAAGAGGTGGAGTCTATTTCCCTACTCTTGGACTCTGGGTTGACCACGTGACTTGCTTGGACTGGAATGTGGCAGAAGCAACATTATGAGAGTTCTTAGCTTGAACCTCAAGAAGCCTTGAAGCTTTTACTTTTGCACTCTTGGAACCCTCTGCAACCAAATGAACAAACTCGGGGTGAGCCTGATGGTGAATAAGGGGCCACATGGAGCTGAGATGAGTCATCCCTGCTGAGGGCCCCCATGCATGGAGTTGTCCTGGCTGGTGACCTCAAATGCATGAACGATCCCAGCCAAGAGCAGAACCATCCAGCTTTGCTCAGCCCAAATTCCCGACCCACAGAATTATGAGCAGAATGGTTGTTTTTTTAGCTACTAAGTTTTGGAATAGTTTGTTATACAGCAAAAGCTAACCGATACACCCTCTCCAACTTAGATTCAGTGATCCCCTTGTAGTTAAAAACAAAAGGGGATAGTCCAAAAGGCCACTGAAAAGTTTCCAGACCATTGCTTATTCATGTATTCTGCTACTTTCAAGTCCAGTCTAATTCACTGTTAGAGTTATTGAAACCCAAATAAGGTGGGTCTTCAAAGCAGCTGACAGGGAAGCTGTCCAGCCTACTCTTCTCACAGGCTCCTTGTGGCAAGGACAACTTCTCACAACTCTTTGTTGTGAGAAGTATCTAGCACAAAACCTTCCTTATATTATACATTCTCCATAAAATTTCTGAACCAACAGAAGAGATTTTAACCCTCAGGGGAGCTAGAATCTTCCAAAAGCTTTGAAGCACAGTGTAATGATAGCCATGGTCATAAAATTTGGCAACTTTTACAAATGATGGAAAACTGCCTTGTGTACTGGCAACTCCAGGACTTAGGAAATTTAGTCCTTGAGTTTCAACTACATTTTTTTGTGTTTTTAAAAGCACTTCCTGTCTTGGGAGACGGCTCAGGCCAAGTATAGAATCAGCAATTTAAATAGGCACAATAGGCTTTATGATCTGTACTTTTTGAGCATGACTAAATTTTAGCAAAAAATTGGAATCAAGCCTCACATCTAACTGGATGATGCTAAACATAGAATAATGATGAATTCCTGCTATTAGTGAAAATTTCACAAGGACAATAATTCCGGAACATCTATCAAAATGTCTGAGAGGCTGTCATTTCATGGACAAAATAGGTTTTATCTATAAAAGATCAGAGTTACTTGTTAAAATTGAATTAGTTCTTATGGTATTTCCCCATTTACATAAAATGTTTTTATTAATATAAACTCTACATCAATTTTTCACACAGAGTGTTTCAATTTTAACAAAAGATACAACTCTACTTTAAATGCAACTCAGAGTGTTCCATTATAATAATTACCATCAGCTATAAAAGACAGACACAAAAAAGCAGTACTTTTCACAACGACTCTGCTTTAAGATTTTAGAGCTGAACCTGAAATTTAAAGTTGCTAAGTCACTTGTAAAAAGGGAAATTGTACCTGGTGACTAAGCTGAATAATGGTTCCTAAAGAATACTATGGCATCATCGATTGGACATTAATTATGTGTATCTGCAAACTCAGGTGGACAGAAGAGGCATGGATCACCTTTGGAAAATTAAGGCTCACCTACAAGCTGATTCTGAATATTTTTTACATTTGAGGTCTGAGCCAGTAAGACAAGATTAGTGGATTCAGGGCTCAAATATGGAATGAGACATGAGGGTCACTATGTACTCTCTCAGGGGTTTGTAATGGCTATTTTCCATAGCATTGCTTTCAGTGGGCCAACTGCTTCTCAGACCTGGGTCCTATGTCAATTCCTAGGTGATACTAATTTCATTCATTCATTCATTCATTCATTCATCCAAAATCTGCTGAGTGTCTACTAGGCTAAGTGCTATTTCCTATGAGATGATTCAGTTATGCATCTTCCTGGGGGAAAAAAGAAAGGCAAAAGAGGAAGCAGAGAAAAATAATAATCTAGGCAACTGCTTAATCCATGCAAAAAATAACAAGTATTTCTGAAACAAACATAGAGATAGATTTGTGCTTCATTTAGGACAAACTACATGAAAAATGGAATAGATCTTTTACTGGTACCTGTATCCCAATTCTTCACTAAGATGGATCATATGAAGGATATATGATTCCTTGCTTGTTCCAGTGAGGCCAGGCAACAATAAGACAGTAGGTCTGGTGGTGGTATCCATATAACATTTACTGTTACAATTATCAAACCAGTCCAGTGAAATCTGTCCTCCGTCTGCAGTTTTAATAAGTTCACTGAAAGAAATAAAAGACATACTCATTAAGTGTTTCGAGTCATGTCTTAAAATTAGTGTCTTAATTTTATAGATATATGACATGATTTGGTCATCTGAAAAGAACTTTTTTTCAGCATTCACTAACACATACTTATATCACTTTCTTTTATTACAAGAATGATATGAGATTAGTATCATAAAGTATTTCCAGCAACAACACAGAAAAGCAGCATATAAAAATGAACTACAAAGTACTTCACATATTTACCTTTATCATTTCCTCATCACTCTAAAATATCCAGCCCTATTTGATCGAGGTCACCCAAATAATTCACCAGGGAATTGTGAATAAGTAAAGTGCTGATCTGATCACTGCTCTGGCCCTTTGACTCAGTAATGCAGTCTCCCCACAGAGTATATTATAAAATTTGCTTCTCAAATATTTTAAAGTATTTCTCACACAGTCTCTACGAACTTAAAGAATTTTCCCAAATAGTGCAAATTCCAGGCAACAAAAGGAACTCCAGAAAGACTAGATGACTCAGGGAAATTAATACTAGGCACCATCTAAATCTCCTGGTTACTGATAAATTCTGGATCATATCTTTAACACCTCAAGGACATTAGCATCAAGAACCCATTTGCTTATTAATATGAAATCCTTTTACAGAAGCCCATCACGCAAAATCCATATTAATTGGCATCGTTCTCCACTCCATCCCCACTCCCAGCATCAGTGAATTGGTATATATCATCAAAGGATCTAGGTCCTCAGGGACAGATGCATGCCAAATTGGAAGAGTAACCCTCAAACACTTCTCTAGAAATAAACCGGTTACATCAAGGCGCGTGGGCGCTTGCACACACACACACACACACACACACACAAACGGTGAAAGGCAATACCTGAATATTTTCCAGCAACTGAGTGTGTGTGTTGGGTGGGAGCGAGGGGGCAAACCTTCCATTTTCAATCCCTTTTCTTTTCTATATGCTGACCAACCAAAGGTTAACCAAGGACTGGGAGTATGCCAAAAACCCCGTGGTTTTGAAGAAATGACGGCAAATGGAAATATACTTACTTCCTGTATTGTACCGAGGGCTTAGAAGTGATGAAAGGTCTCAGGAGTGTCTGTCCTCGACTCTCCCAGCACCAAACCGTCGGGTAGTACGTTTCTGTCACCACCGGACAGTGGTTCTGGAGGAAGCGGCTGAAGCTCTCACCCCCCGTCACTAACTGGGGCTTCTGTGGGGGAAAGCCAGTATTATAGTGAAGGGTCCAGAACAAAGTTTTGCCGTAGACCAGAAATGAGCAGACTCGTCCCTCGCGCACGCGCTCCCTCCGATTACATCTCCTTCGAGAAGCCTGACACACATCGCAGTCACAACGGACTTAAAGAGTGATTGACCAAAGCCTTGGAGAGAGGAAGGCAAGAGTTGAGATAAGGGAGTCATTCTCAGAAGTGCTACAGCATTGCCAGGCTAGCGAACGGTGACAGGGCAGTACCGTTGCGCCTAGGTCAGCCGGGTCCTGGCTGCTGTCCGAGCACCCCGGCCGGACTCACAGGCAGGCGGTCAAGAGCTGGCCCCCTTTCCCGCCCGCGCTCAAAGGGCGTCCGTCAGATGCCCGGGAAAGGGCAACAACATGCGAGCAGCGGCACTCTCGCCTCCAGGGCCGCCCTAGCCACCCGCGCCTGCGGCGGCAGTTCCAGCTTCGCCGGCTGCTGTAGCTCCCAGCGAACGCCCCCGCGGCCCTGCGCCCCCGCGTCCGCGCCAACCCCTGGCTCACCTTGGCAATGCTGCTCAGGTAATAGCAGGCGTAAGCGACGCTGAAGCCCAGGATCAGGGATAAGCCTACTCCCGAGCCGAAGAACCCAACCCGGACTTGGTGCTCCAGGTAGAGGGAGAGCTCCCTGGATAGCATCCGCAGGTCCATCGCTAAGCGCTGCATGGTCTGCGGTGGGAGGCCAGTCAGCCGGCGAGCCACGGAAAGCGGCCGCTGCACCTCCCCGGACCCTTGAGCAGAGCGTCTCTAGCCCGGCAAAGCGCAGCTTCCGCCAGCGGGCGCGGCCGAGCGGCCCCGGGAGGCGTAGCACCGCCGCTGTCCGCCGCTGGCTCCGCCCCAGATTTCTCGGAACTGCCAGCCCCGCCACCCGTCAGTCACTCAGGAACCTTCCAGAGGCGCGGTTCCGAGCGCGGCCACCGGGGCGGGGGGCGGACTGGGTCTGCCGGTCTGGTGGTCTGGTCGCAGTCAGGCTGGGTGACCCCCAAGGGTGGGCAGAGATCGAGCGCCGACTTTGGAGGAAATGGGCCTGGCAGTGCGCATTCCGGTCACTGGCTGGGCACCTGCTCCAGTGACCTTGAACGGTTCCGCACGGCGGTGGGTTTCGTTTAGTACTGTAAACTAGTGGTTTAGGGTGCGTCGGAAAAAACTGAGGGAGTTAATGCCAAATATATGTTAGAAGAATGCACTACGTAGGGAAAAAAAAATCCCACATCCCCCAGAAAGTTGGGTTTCCCCTGAACACTATCAAAAGAGAAAAAATAGTCTATAAATACTCAATAATGAGGCTATTCCTACTTTAAATCGCTCTGAATCCTTTTAGTTCCTTAAATATGCCTTGAATGAAAAGTGGTTCCCAAAAATAAATAAGGAGATCAAGAAAAGGAACTGGGATTCAAAAAATTTTAAAGCCTATTTGTGGTTCGTTAGTGCTTTGAACTTCTAGACTTACACAAATTCAGTTACTTAACATATGGACCAGAAACCATTTATGAAGTAGGTTTTCCTAGGCTTATTTATGGCAACACGACTAAACCGGAAGATAGAGGCATCTAAAAGGGCTAGAACATTTAGCAGTCTATTATTATAAACTCCTTCCACCTACAGTTACCAAGAGCCGCAAGACTTAAACAGGCAAAAAGAAAAAGGCAAGGGCTGTAGAGACTATGAAAAATTTCACAGGATTGTAAATTAATCATAGAAATTAGTGATAGACAAATGGGATGGGCCAGAACTGAGCAATTTATTTGGCCTTGATTTGGTCACTGTAATTTGTGGGTTGCCAGCGCCCAGAATAATTTAGTTGCCTTCACTGAGCCTGTTTTTTTTTTTAATCTGCAGAATAATAATTTCTACTTTATAGAGTCTTTGGGATGACTAAATGAAATAAGGTATGTACTGGTCTTGCCTTGAGCATACGTAATTCTCTTTCACTCACTGGTTCTTGCATCTGATCACACCCAGAAAATGCAAATATACATGGTGGCTGCCATACTTGACAATGTACATGCAACATTCTTTATAATGCCTGCACCCATCTTCTGCCTTGCCTACCAATAAATACATATATATTTTATTTTGCTGAAGTGTACAGTGAAAATACTATAACGTACTTCATTAACATCACGATATGTAGAAAGTGTGCTGACCTGGGAGTAAACAACTCTGAACTCATCCACCAAACTTAGGCAAGCCATTTACTCTTTTGGAGCCTCAATTCCCTGTCTATAAAATAAGATGGTTGAGATTGAAGATGTCAAACTCTCTTTGCTGTTAGAAGAACATTCACAAACTCCCTTAAGAACTATTCCAGTTTAGATGAGGAAATGAAAGCTCAGACCTAACCTGACCCCCAATAACTTCTTCTGCGTGGTGTCTATGTCTGTGTATAATTCCTTCACCTTGAGTGCAGATAGAACCAGTGACTTACTTCTAACTAATAGAATATAGCAAAAGTGATGAAATGGCACCACTTCTGTGATTACGTTATGTGATGCTAGCTTAGCAGAGTGGAGCTAAAAGGCTCTCCTGCCACCTTGAGGAAGCAAACAGCCATATGAACTGCAGATGGAGAGGACCACATAGCAGAGAACTAGTGGTGGCGTCTAGGACTCGTGGGGAGCCTCAAGCCGACAACCAGCAAGAAGGTAGGGCCTTTAAGGAAATGAATTCTGCCAACACCCTGAATAAGCTTGGAAGCAGATTATTCCTCAGTCAAGCCTCCAGATGAAAACACAGCCTGTCCAACGTCCTGACTACTGCCTTCTGAGACCTGGAGCAGAGCCCCAGTTAAGCTGTGCCTGGACCCCTGATCCATGGAAACTGTCAGATAGTAAATATGTTGTTTTAAGCTGCCAAACTGGTGATTTGTTATGGAGCAATAGAAAACTAAGAGAAGATGAAAAAGTCCTACAAGAGCATTCAAATATTAATAAATATCAGTGGGTCATTTTACCTACCAATGTGCAGTTGACCGTTGAAACACACGGGGGTTCAAGGTGCCAACCCCTGCACAGTCAAAAATCTGTGTATAACTTTTGACTCTTCAAACACTTAGCAGCCTACTATTGATGGAAAGCCTTACTGATAACATAAACAACGGTTGATTAACACATATCTTGTATGTTATAGATATTATATACTATATTCTTTTTTTATAGAGTTTTTTAAAGATTTTATTTCTTTAATTGAGAGAGAGAGACAGAGACAGAGACAGAGATAGCAACAGAGATAACTAGAGAGGGCACTAGCAGGGAGGAGAGGGAGAAGCAGGCTCCCCGCTGAGCAGGGAGCCCAATGCAGGGCTCGATCCTAGGACTCTGAGATCGTGACCTGAGCTGAAGGCAGACGATTAACTGACTGAGCCACCAGGCGCCCCTATATTATATTCTTATAATCAAGTAAGCTAGAGAAAAGAAAATATTATTATTATTTTTTTAAAGATTTTATTTATTTATTTGAGAGAGAGAGAATGAGAGAGAGCACGAGAGGGAAGAGGGTCAGAGGGAGAAGCAGACTCCCTGCTGAGCAGGGAGCCCGATGTGGGACTCGATCCTGGGACTCCAGGATCATGACCTGAGCCGAAGGCAGTCGCTTAACCAACTGAGCCACCCAGGCGCCCTGAAAAGAAAATATTATTAAGAAAATCCTAAGGAAGAGAAACACATCTACAGTGTCATACCATATTTATAAAGAAAATCCTTGTGTAAGTGGACCTATGCAGTTCAAACCCATGTTATTCAAGAGTCAACTGTAGTTATTGTAGGAATGTTTTAAATAAGTTAAAGATTTCAGCTTTCTTTTTTTTTTAAAGATTTTATTTATTTTAGAGCAAGAGCAATAGCAAGAGAGAATGAGCAGGGGGAGGGGCAGAGGAGGAGGGGGAGGGAGAAGGAGGACTCCATGCTAAGCGTGGAGTCCCATGTGGGGCTCCATCTCATGACCCTGAGCTCATGACCTGAGCCAGAACCAAGAGTCAGATGCTTAACTGACTTGAGCCACCCAGCTATTCCGATTTCAGCTCTTTCAATTAATATTCAAAATTAAGAAACCCATTGAGTTTTTTTTAAAGATTTTTATTTATTTATTTGTCAAAGAGAGAGAGAGAGAACAAGCAGGGGGAGTGACAGGCAGAGGGAGAAGCAGGCTCCCCGCTGAGCAAGGAGCCGGAGGTGGGACTTGATCCCAAAACCCTGGGATCACAACCCAAGCTGGAGGCAGCAGCTTAACTGACTGAGCCACCCACGCATTCCCCCCATTGAGTTTTTAATTCTTTTCTTTATACTTCTCTTTAATTAATTGTCACAATGAACATTGATTACTTTTGAAAGAGTAAAAAAAAGTCATTTAAAAATATACAAAATTAGTTGTAAAGGAATAAATCATGTGAAAAGATATGTAGCTAAAAGTAGGAAAGGCCAAACATTCTAAGATGTAACAGAAGAAAAGTTTTAAATGAGAACACATCTCAGGGTGGCTGGGTGGCTCAGATGGTTAGGCATCTGCCTCTGGCTCAGGTCACGATCTCTGGGTCCTGGGATGGAGCCCCAAGTCGGGTTCCCAGCTTAGCGGGGGAGTCTGCTTCTCCCTCTCCCTCTGCTTCTCCCCCTGCTTGTGTTCTCTCTGTCTCTCATTAGAAACCAAGATATGGGCACTGGGTGCCCACTGGGCACTGATGTGGTCATTGCTACTGGGGTATCATTGTGTCTAGGTCCTCTCAGCTGACTGAACTAGGTAATATATCTATGTATACTAACCCATGTGTACATATGTCTACTTATATCTGTATCTACATCTATAGTTGTTTTTGTATCATCTGCATTTTTAAAAAGATTTTATTTATTTATTTGACAGAGAGAGAGAGCACACAAGCGGGGGAGCGGCAGGAAGAGGAAGAGGGAGAAGCGGGCTCCCATCTGAGCAGGGAGCCCAATGCGGGGCTTGATCGCAGGACCCCGGGATCATGACCTGAGCTGAAGGCATAAGCTTAACCGCCACCCAGGTGCCCCTATCCATCTGTATTTACATTAAGCTAAAGACGAGTTCAGAAAAGAGATGAGCTTTTTTTATATCCACTCCCTGAGGGGTTTTAGGAGGAATTAAACCTCTTTTTTTTTAATTTTTTTTTTAGATTTTTTTTTTTTTATTTATTCATTTGAGACACAGAGATAGAGAGAGAGAGAAAGCATGAGCAGGGAGAGAGGCAGAGGGAGACGCAGGCTCCTCGCTGAGCCAGGAGCCCGATGTGGGGCTCGATCCCAGGACTCTGGGATCATGACCTGAGCCGAAGGCAGACGCTTAACCATCTGAGCCACCCAGGCGCCCCAGGAATTAAACCTCTTAATTAGTAATGTTTCTGGGTTATTTCTCTTCAATTTTTGGATAAAGCAAAATTCTATCTGTAATAGGAAACACCCTATACCCTTCATGTCCTCAATTCTATGGCAAATCAGCAACAGAAATCAAGCAGAGGACAGAATGGTTTATACTTACAGAGAATGCCAGAACTGAAAATCACAAGGCGTACACTTAATGAAATAAAAATTTTAGGTTACATTCAATTAGAAGAAATACTGTGGTTCTGGGGCGCCTGGGTGGCTCAATCAGTTAAGGGTCTGACTATTTTGGCTTAGGTCATAATCTCAGGGTCATGGGATTGAGCCCTGTATTGGGCTCCACTCTCGGAGTGGAGTCTGCTTGTCCCTCTCCCTCTGCTCCTCCTCCCCCTTTCTCTCTCTCTCACTTTAAAAAATAAAGAAAATCTTTTTTAAAAAAGAAATATAATTC